TGCAGGCCGCTGTGTAATCGCAGACTACAAGCCGCTGTGTAATCGCAGACTACAGGCCGCTCGTGGGTGCCGTGTGTCTGCAGAAAGGCCCGCTCGTGCTTGTTTTAATCCGTTCATCATTGCTGGTGACTGGGTGTTTTGTATCCGAAGGCCTGGTCAGAGGGCATCGCAACGGCAAAGCCAGCAGGTTCCAGATTCAAGACCCGGCAGGGGGGTTTGGGGGCTGCATCATTGTACCTGTGAGTGATCATCGCGGTGACTGAGTGAAGCATCCAGCTGCCTGTGAGAGTGATGTGTAGGACTGCTTAGCCCAGATAAATGTTTTAATGTTAAATAATGCCGATACCACCTCTATTTTCAACTAAACGTTCTTTATTTCTGCATCACAGCTTGTTGACAGCCTCTCTGTCTGATGCCAAAGGAGAGTGATGAAGCGGTTTTATGTTTTATTTAGGTATTTTGAATATTTAATGGCTGCGTTTTACATTCCACGTCGCAGTCCTGAGGTTTGCTAACAGGATTTTATAGAGGATCCAGGTGCACGAAAGGCCAGGGAGGGGGGGGTGACACAGAGGTCCTTTTCAGAGGCACATTGAGGGTTCAAAGCCGCATACCAAACACCGACTATAAAAGCCAGATTCAGCTGGCCGCTCCCCCCCGGACCCCCCCGGACCCCCCGGCACAGACACGGAGGACAAATCGGTGCGGAGGCTGCCATGGTGCGACGCCTCGCGACCCTGATTTACGGTGTGGGGCTGTGTGTCCTGCACCATGCCCGGCCAGGAGCATTACAACATTTCTCTCACAAACAAACCTCCATCCGTAACCGCGGTATATTACCCTAGTGACCTCGCACACAGCAAATGTGCATCTGTCTGGGAGCGATGCCCCCCCCCCGCCGCCCATCCTCGCCGCCATCTAGTCATAGTCATTTAGCGTGATGGATTTACCGAAGTGCCACATTAGGGATCAGCCACTGAGGCGTGCAGCAGAATGTTAACCGTGCCCTGGGTGCTGTGACAGCCTGTAGCGGTGGGGGCCACAGGCTGGGGGGGGGCACTGAGTCACAGGACGAGCCCCCGGGGCTGAGCCGACATGTCACGGCGTGCATAGTGCCAGGCGTTCCTGTTTTTTCACGTTTTTACACGCTCCTGCTTATCGCACCTGCTATCCTTCAAATAAACTGCTTTGCGTGCAATGAGACAGATGAGGGGGGAGTT